GTTTCTCTAAAAGATATCCGTATTTTCCTAGATATCCGTATTTTCCTAGAAATCGTTTGTTTAGATTCCATGATATTTGCGGCAAACGTTCACCAAACTGCCCGAAATACGCCAACTTACTTTAGTTAAACTTTTATAAAATAATTACCAAAAAGATTGACAAAAGATTATATAAAAGGTATGAAGTAATAATGAAAAAAATATATCAGAAATAAAATGTATAATAATTAGGAAATGATATTGTTATAGTGATGTTGTATGGTTGTATATATATATATATATATATATATATATATATATATATATATATATATATATATATATATATATATATATATATATATATATATATATATATATATATATATATATATATGTATATATATATACATATATATATATATATGCATATATGTATATATATATATATACAGGGGCGGATCCAGCATTTTTTGGTGTTTGAGATACCTAACTTCCAGACATGGAGCAAACTCCAAACATTTATAAGTTTATACTTATATTAAATAAGGATGGTTTGCAAAAAATTGCGATGATTGGAGCCTGGGAACAAAAAAACCCTAAAATTTGAGACGTACCTGCCCCAAGCGTGAGAGCAACAAGTTAATAAAATATTTTTTGTACTATTCTCAACAAGACTTATATTTATCCATAAATTTAAAATTTCATTGTAAAATATTTCAGCGTTAAAAAATTATGACCATGTAAAGTTTGAATCCCCCTCAATTCGAGGAGGTTACAATTTTTATATGGTCATAATTTTTGAGCGCTAAAATATTTTACGATGAAATTTAAAATTTATTGATAAATATAAGTCTTGTTGAGAATAGTACAAAAAATATTTTATCAACTTGTTGCTCTCACGTTTGGGGCAGGTACGTCTCAAATTTTAGGGTTTTTTTGTTCCCAGGCTCCAATCATCGCAATTTTTTGCAAACCATCCTTATTTAATATAAGTATAAACTTATAAATGTTTGGAGTTTGCTCCATGTCTGGAAGTTAGGTATCTCAAACACCAAAAAATGCTGGATCCGCCCCTGATATATATATATATATATATATATATGCATATATATATATATATATATATATATATATATATATATATATATATATATATATATATATATATATATATATATATATACAACCGTTACAAATATTACATAAAAACGTCAAAGAAGACATTAAAAAGATCTGTGACGATCTTTTTAATGTCTTCTTTGACGATATATATATATATATATATATATATATATATATATATATATATATATATATATATATATATATAATATATATATATATATATATATATATATATATATATATATATATATATATATACACATATAAACTTGTGAGATTCAGAACTAGGGTAAACTGGGGTAAAGTGAACTAGGGGTAAAGTGAACTATTTTTTTAAACTAAAAAGTTATCATGTTTAAAAAACTTTTTGTTAAGTAATTTAGCATTATTTTTGCTTAATACAACATTTTGAAATTTTTTAAATAAAAAAATTAATAAAATATAGCCTTTGTTTTGATGTAATAGCCATTTTAAAAAGCGAGTTTGGCGGAAGTTTTAAAATTACGATCTCAAACTTTGCTATGGGTTTTAGTAAATTCATGATTTGTTGTTATTAATGCGAACATCAGTTATATAATTTATATACATTTTAAAGATAATATAATGCTGTTAAAAAAAAATTGTAGTTTTTATCATAATATAAAAAAGCTAAGCTTTTAGTTTGTAAATCAATTTAGTTCACTTTACCCCTTATTTTTCTGCCTATTGGGGGTAAAGTGAACTAGTCTTTTTCTTATGTTTTTTCATCAAATATTTTTAGTAGAACTGAATATATAAATTGTAATTACTTAACTAAATTGTTTACTCTTAAAATAAGTTGTTTTTTTTTTAAATATTCTTAAAATTATTTTCAGAAATATAATATATTGAAATAATGCCAAGAAACTACATTAAGAAAAAAGAATCTCGAAGAAAAACATATGCACCTAATTTGTTGCAAAATGCCATTTCGAAAGTTAAAAATAAAGAAATGACTTCGTATGCTGCATCAAAAGAATATGGTGTTCCAAGAAGTACAATTGCAAGACATCTTCTAGGCATAAAATGCTCAAAAGTTGGTGAAGGGCGACCAAACCGATTATCTGCTGATGCTGAAAAAAATCTTGTTTCACTTTTATCTGCATTTTCTGATTTTGGATTTGGATTAGATAAAAAACAATTTATGAAACTTGTTCAAACGTATATTGAATTAAACGGATTTCAGAAAAAATTTGTTAATGGTGTTGCTGGTGATCAGTGGTTTTGTAATTTTTTAAATCGTTGGCAGAAAGAAATATCTATAAGAACTCCAGAGCTTTTGACATTAACAAGAGCCTTAGCTTGTAATAAAACTGTAATTGATGCTTGGTTTTTATTACTTAAAGCAACATTGGAAAAATGTGACATTATGAATAGACCTGCCCAAATACTAAACTGCGATGAAAGTGGGTTTTGCACTAACCCAATAAATAAAAAAATTATTTGCAAAAGAGGTATTAAAAACCCTGTATCTATTGCTCCTGGATCAGGAAAAGAACAGTTTACTGTACTAGCAACAATATCAGCTGCAGGAAGAAATTTTCCTCCATTTATTTTATTTGCTGGGAAGAATTTGTATAAAGAGTGGATGACTGGTGGACCAAATGGTTCCTTATATGGGGTGACAAAAAACGGTTGGATGGAAACAGAAGTTTTCACTGAATACTTTAACCATCTTGTTTTATGGTTGAAAGACACACCCAAGCCTGTTTTGCTTATCTTTGATGGTCACATTAGTCATATTTCTTAAGAAACTGTTAAAAAAGCAGTTGAAAATCATATAACTATTTTGTGTTTGCCAGCACACTGTTCGCATTTGCTTCAGCCACTTGATGTAGGAGTCTTTCGCCAAGTTAAACATGTATGGCGTGAAATTCTGGCCAATTGGTATACCGAGTCAAGGCTGAAGGTGGTTGGGAAATCTGTTTTTCCATCTTTATTAAAAAAACTTTATGATACCTCCTTTGAGCCAGCTCATTTAGTACAATCCTTTGCCAAAACTGGAATTTTTCCCTTTGATCCATCTGCTATAGCATCTGACAAGTTAAATCCTTCTGAAATCTATGAACACCCTTTTTCTCAGAAAACAAATAACTATAATAATAACGTCCCTCAAAACATCGTTTTAGACACCAATGTCAATGATCAGAACGATACTTGTGAAAATTTTTCTATTGAATCAACAAATAAATACAATTCACAAAAAACTATAATATCAGTAGGAAAAGACTTAAACAATGAAAAAATAAATCAACTATCAATATCAAATGTAGATTGTTCTACTGGAAATAAAATCATTAGAGAAATAGTGAAAGAACAGTTAATGGCCACAAAGGGTGATGGTCGTTCATACAACAAACGACCTACAAAAAAAATAAAAAGACACTATGGAGGTGAGTGTCTTACATCAGAAGATGCATTTAAAAGATTAAATGATGAAGAAAACGAATGCTTTAAAAGAAAGATCAAGCAGCAAGGCAAAATACAAAATAAAAAAACTAATTTATTAGAAATAACAAACACAAAAGAGTTAAAGATGAAGTAGTTCACTTTACCCCAATGTGGGGGTAAAGTGAACTAGTGGACATGTTTTTTTTGAATATATATTTAATATTGTAAAAGTAGCTTTTAATCTTAGTATTTTGTTTTATATTGTACCTAATACTTTAAATGGTATAAATTTTGAAAACTGCAAAATGTTTTGGCTTTTATTTTGAAAATATTTCCTTTAAATATCAAAAACAGTTCACTTTACCCCAGTTTACCCTATATTTCAGTTAAAAAAAATTTAAACCTATAATTAATAATATATGTAATAATTAAAAAGTAAACTAGACCGTTTATTTAAAGTCATTTATATATACATTTATAAATGATACAAATATATGTCATCATTTAAATGATACAAATATGTCATCATTTAAAATTATAGTGTAAAGTACATCATTTTAATCATAATAAATACAAACTTCGTTTTTAAAATATAATACAATAATTTTTTCTCTCGGTGAATTCTTAAACATATTATAAATAATATAATTCGGATAAGAATTTATTTTATTCTTCAAGTAAATTCTTAATAATATTACAAATTACACATAATAAAAATTATAAATTTTTATTGTTATATATTTTTCTAATTATAATATAATAAGCAAATATTTACTGATTTTTTAAATATTATATTACTTTAAATACACTTAAATAATTATAAAAAAAGTATTTATCATAAAATGCGGCTACATTCCCAAACAATCCGAAAAAAACAACTTTATAGAAAGCGTCTCGTGGTCATCCGGAAGGTCATTCTAGGTTATATACCTATATGTATCAGATAAAAGTGTTCAAACTCAGATAAAACTAAAGAACTTTTTATATGGATGTGATTAAAAAAAAAAAAAAATTTTTTAAAGTTTTTTAATATAATTATTATTTTTACTTAAATTTCGAAAAGTAATAAATTTCCAACTTTTAAAATTAAAATCAAAAAGTAAATGACATTTTTTGGTTAATATAACTGTTAAGAAATGCACCAGTTCAGAATCTTATTTTAAAAAATTGCTACTTTAAGACGTAAAGAAAAGTTAAACAAACCTAATTATCGAAAATAAACAAACTATAGTTTATACATCAGACTTATTCTACCTTATTTTTAATTTTTATTATAATTATTTTACCTTATTTTTAACTTTATTATAAATTATTCTAGCTAATTAATTTTTTAATTTTTGCTACCAATTACTGCATTGATTGTTTTATTATTTTATTCAGAAACGCTTTATTATTTTCTTCAATGTTACAATTCAATATTCAGAAACTATTTAAACTGATAGATTTAAATGTTACATTTTCAATATTAAAAAATTAATAAAAACTATTCTTATAGAAATCATTTTCACCTAAAAATAAAATCTAAAAATTAAATAGAAACTCTTTTCTCTACTGCTACTTTTTTCCATAATATTTACTAATCTTTGAAATATTCAACAACAAATTAATTTTTTCAATATTTTCAAAGGAAGTTAATGGAAATGATGTGACTTGGTGAAGTTAAAGACAAATTCACATGGGTTCATTTATAAAATTCTTTCCTTTTTCCACCATTACAAATTTTTTAACATTTGAACGATGAATCCATTCAAAAATATCACTAATGTAGTCAGTACCAACATGAAGGTCTAGATATAATTCTTCGCAAACATTTATCCATGAAAGAAAACATTCCTCGAAATCTTTCTTTGATATTGAATATTTTAAGATGCATATTGACAACTCTTGAATCTTATCTTTTGGTTTCCATCCATCAAATTTAATTGGACAATAAAAAAAGACACGGCGAACGATCGTGGAACTTTTAATAATGAGATTTTTTTCATCGTCACTTAAAATACTTTTATTAACATATAATGTCGGTAACTTCAACTCTGAATTTATCAAATGATTTAAGAAATAATTTTCGCAAGAAGTTTCATAAAAAGTTTTGCCATCACAAACTGAAATCATCCATTGTCGTTTATCAAATAATGATTTGATTTCACCTGTGATTGATGATTGACTCTCATAAAAACATTCATAGAGCAATTTTCGAAAACCAAATTCATCGAGGTCTAAAAAAAAATTTAAAGGAACTTTTTTTAAAATAGAAAACAAGCATGTCAAATTTATTAAATTTACGTTTAAGCATTTAAGTGCCTGCAGTGGCAAGACTCTCCTTAAGTGAGAGGTACAGAGTTTAAATCCTACCATATTTTTGGTACTACTGTAAAGAAACAAGTTATGTGTGAAAGGTTTGTAACAACATTAAAAAAAAGGATTGGATTGTAACAACATTAAAAATATAAAAAAAAAACTTTTTTGACAGTCAAGACCCTTGATGGTCAAAAAAGATATTTTTTTATATTTTCTAGTCGATAAAACGTTGAATTAAAAAATTTTCAATTTATCTAATATAAATAAAGTTCATGTAATATAAAAGTTATCTTGTTATGAGTCTTAGTTGCTCAGCGCTATATGCCATTATTGAGTTTCATTATATTACAAACTCAATTTTGTTTGGTAAAATACACACGGAAATATACATAACAATAAATTTTGAGTAAACAAACAGATAACTGCAGTGTGAAGGGTCGTCCATAAATTATGTCATACTCTAAAGGGAAAGGGGAGAGGGATAGTGGTCAAAAATTGCGTGACGTAATTTATGGACGACCCCTAACACAGGCAAAATATCTATAGATTAACATTCTTTAGGAAGATTCAAAATAAGATTTTAAATACTTGATAAAATGTAGACTGGAAAAGTTGATGAAAATATTTGAGTTAGTATTGAAAGATAATAAGATTATGAGTTTTTTTTATATTCAAAAAACAGATTTTTTGAATATAAAAAAAATTATATTCAAAAAATCTGTTTTCATTATTTTCTGTTTTCACTAAAATCTAAAATAAAATTTAATTATAAAATTATTATTATTTAAAAATTTTTTATTTAATTTCTCTTTGTTTGAGACCCAACATGATGTACTTTTGAAAAACTTTTTTTTTAATAATATTAGGGGACCTATTTAATGTTCGAGGGTCGGTAGCAACCCCTTAATATATATTTTATAGAAAATTTTTTAAATCTAGCATTTTTTTATTATATGCAACATATTCAGGGGGTGCCAGCAGTTATTTTCAAAAAAAGTTGTTTAGAACCACCCTAATAGATATATATATATATATATATATATATATATATATATATATATATATATATATATATATATATATATATATATATTAGGGTTATTCAAAAATAGATCATGTCAAAAATTTGAAAAGAGCCCTAGCTTATGATCTGCCTTGACCCCAAAATAGTGCTTAAAATTTTTTACAAAAATTTTTTTGAACATCGGAAAAGGTCCCCACAGAGGGCAAAAGGGTCAGTTTTTGCCCCACTTTTAGAAAAACTTTACACCGCTTGTGGGACTCTTAAATCTCAACGAATTTAAAAAATAAACTATCCAATAACATGGTAATGAGTTCTACGATTTAAGTTTAAGCTTTTCATAAATATATCTTTAAGTAACTTTCAGAAGAATGATAAAACATTGAAAAATATCAAAATGTAAAGTATTTGTTTAAAAACAACAATTATTTGTTTGAATACAACCAATACAAAACAAAAACCAAAAATTTACAAGTGTTTCAAAAATAAATTGGATAAAAAAGTAGATATCAAATAATACTATTGAGTGCAGTTTTGGCAAGATTTAACTTTTTTCTACTATTTCAATTTCGCTTGTACACATAAGTAAAATGTATCCTGTCTTTTTTCTTCTGAAGGTAATTTGTTAACAAGTTGTTGAACTAATTTGACTGGTCTTTCTAAAAAATTATTCACAACATCAAAACTCCAATACTCTAGAGGAAGCTTCATCCATTGAACCTCAGCCTTTCCATGACCAAGCATGTCAAATACAAGCATATCAAATACAAGGACTTCTCTGTAGCTAGTGGAACTAAACTGGGAGGCTCACCCTGTGAAATGTTTAAGCTCATCAGACTGTCTTTATCCAACACCTGTCTTTCTAAAGAATATTCTTCTATAGGGCTTGTTTTAGACTAAATAGTCTCTTAGCCATGTCGACACATTCTTTACATTTCTGATCTGCAACTGCTATAATGACTATGGGTCAAGGTTAGATCAAAGGTCGCATTATGGATTTAGAAACAGCTTGAGCCCCAGCTTTATTTGATTCCTCAAACCTTTTCATCTGCCAGTATGCTTTTATATCCTAATAGTTAAGGCTTAGGTTTATCAACATTTAATTTAAAAATAAATAATATATATATTTTATGTATTTATTCAAAATTATATCTTTATTTTAAAACAATTATTCAGACTGTGTACCTGCATCGAAACAGCTGAACTTAGCTCCGCTTGAAGAAACCATTCAGTATAAAAAATTAAAACGAACTTTGTCATTTCAGTGATTTCATCCCTGCTCTCTTCATTGATTTCAGGGATTTTTTCCATAAGTAGAAACAGTTTTAGGTAAAATAAACTTTAACCCATGAATCAGGATAAACAGCTCCAGGATTGTGAAGTTTAAATCTGTTATTGTGTGATGGTACGATTAATGTAAGTTCAGACAATTCCTGATAATTTTAACAAAACTTTAATTCCTAATCAAATTTTTTTCCTAAGTTATAATAACTTAAATAACTTACTACAAAATTAAAAAACTGGAAAATTATAAGTGAAGTGCTACTTTATTATACTATTCTTTGGAAATAGTAAGGGATAATTAGATTTAATTGAATTAATTTAAAAAGTTTTTACGACTCACCTTTTTAAAAACTTTAGTGCTAATTATATATCTGCAAAATTGAATAGTACTCAGCCTTTGTTTGTTATTCCAGGAATCAGTAGGAGTTGATAATCTTTTTAAATCTTGATTTTCAGTATCTAGATCATTCCAAAAGTTCCTAAGAACTTTAAATAATTTATTTTCTGGTCCTGAAATATGACTGCTTGGATAAAAGAAAAACAGGTAACATGACACTCAAAAATATGGCGTTGACATGCAGTTAATAACATAGTAAGTGCACAATGATTCTGCTACAAGCTTCTTTTGCTAATCTAATCCAAAGTTAGAAATAAGTTCATCTAGAGTCAATTGCTGAAATTCCAAGTAACTCAGTTTGTCCTTTAATCCTAGCAAGAACAGCTAACCTATCTTTTGAAAATTGTTTTCCCTCAGTAAGTTCTTTCACAATTTTTCCATCAAAATGAATTGTTATTAGAGAATTCGAAGGTTTAGAAATGCTTTTTATATGGTCTCTGATTTCATTTGCGCCGAATAACACAGCATTCTCTGCTGCTCTGTATGATGAGGAGTTAGAGCATACAAACTCAGACAGGCATCCTCCAGAATTGACAATAATACAGTTAAGAATTGCTGTATGTTGCTGTGGAGTTAAACCCTCTCTAACTGCTGTGTGAGCTGCTGTTATTATCTAATGGTGCAAGATATTCTTGGGTAGGCTGACAGAATTTGTCGGATCAATATATGGCACAATTTCAAATTTACTATCAGTTGAATTGTTTTTATTGATATTAAAAGAACTTAATGAATTTTCAGAATCAGTATCAGATACACTTTTTAACTTATTATAATTACATTTAGATTTATACTTTTTTTTTTAATGAGCACTGAAATCTCTTATCCAATCCCCCTAACTTTCCTTTCCTCTAACTGGTCTTTAAGAAAAGTTATGTTTTCCTCTTTGTCATTTTGGTTTCTCAACCTATCTTTCCTTATTTTTTAAATCATATTTAGTGGGGTATTTTCTATAAAGTTCTTTCTTTTTTTAACTTCAGCAGGGTTGTTTCTTTTACTTCGGCTTTTCAGCTTCATCCAGTTTTTCACCATTTTTTCGACCTTGATCCTATAAAATGGAATTATTATTAAATGATTATAACAACTTAAAAATATCGGGTGATTCATAAATAATGATACCTTTTTGTATTGATTAATTTTGGCCTCTGTAGTACAAAGTATGAACCGCACATAGTCTTAAAAGATAGAGAATTTTGTGCTGAATAACGTACCATTCTAATTTTTTTTCTGCGCGCACGCAAGTGAATCAGCAACAATGAAAAGTCAAGACTTGCAAAATGTTGTAATTTCTAAGTATAAAAATGGTGATGGTCCAACTAAAATTTTTTGTGATTTGAGTGGCACTCTTAGCTTACCAACAATCAAAAGATGGTGCAAAATGATTGCCAAAGATGGTACAATCAAACTTTCAAAACCTTCTGGTCGTCCTCGCACAGCTCGAACAAAAGCAACTATCCAAAAAACAAAAAACCGGCTGAAACGGAAGAAAAAGCCAATTTTCTACACGAAAATTGGCAAACGAACTCGATATTTCTCAACCAAGTGTTTATCGTGTTCTTAAAGATGATCTTCAGCTTCGATCCTACAAAAAAGTTGTCCTACCACTATTATCCGATGACCACAAAGAAAAGAGAGTTAAATTTGCAAATTGGATTTGTAACAATTATCGAAAAGCTGATACGATGCGAATCCTTTTTTCTGACGAAAATTTTTTTGATATTGATGGTATTTATAACTCTCAAAATGACAGAATATGGGCTTCAAAATGTGTTGAAGCTGATAGCATCGGAGGAATCAAGCAGCGAAGAAAATTTCCTGAACGTGTTATGGTTTGGTTAGGAGTTTGTTCAAAAGGTGTATTACCATTATCTTTTTTTGAAAAGGGTACCGTTAACCATGAAAGGTATATTGAAGAAGTTTTATCAGTTGCCAAAAAATATGTCAATAAAGTATTTGGTGAAAACTGGATATTTCAGCAGGATGGTGCACGAGCACATACACACCGATTGACACAATGGTGTCAGGACAATTTTCCTGATTTTATTCCTAAAGCACGTTGGCCTCCAAATAGCCCAGATTTGAACCCATTAGACTTTTCTATCTGGGAGGAAACCATGCTATTTATTGGAGCAGAGTAAGCTCAAAAAAAATCGGTGAGTTAAAACGTGCAGTAAAGAGAATTAGATTTGAAATTGTCTTAGAAAGTTGTAATTCTTTTTCAATTCGATTAAATCATGTTTGTGAGAATGGTGGAAACTATTATTCAAAATAAAAAGACATTATCTTATAGAAAAAAAATTTTCTCTATCTTTTGAATCTATTTTGAATGTTAGTAAGTTAATATCTTAGTAAAAAAAAACTGAAAAATAAATGGTATCATTATTTATGAATCCCCCGATATATTTCAGTGTTTTGATAAGGTTATACAGTTTGATATATCATTACCTTAGCTTCTGAGTTGTAATTACTTCAAATCCACCACGTGTCCATAGAACTACAAGTTTAGATATTATGCAGCAATGTAACTGACTGGTAGAACAATTTGGTGAGAACGATCCACTTTTGTTTGGACATCCGACATCAAAACTCAGTTTAACTTCAGATATAGATTTTTTTAGAAAGTTGTAGTATTGAAGAATTTCTTGTGTAGTCGCAAATTTATTGTTGGGAATAGTACAATTAATTTTTTCCACTATAAAAGTATCATCAACTCTTTCAATTTTCTTTTTGGGTGGCATAATATAAATTATTATTATTTTATGTTAATCTAAAATTAAATGTTTACATATAAGTATGTTAGATAAAATAATCATATAAAGTTATTTTTTAATTTTAAAAATGAAAATTTTTTTATTTATTTAAAATTTTCTTTATTCTTTATTCAAAACAAAATTTGCTTAGCAAAAAAAATTATGTTTTCAAATATAAAAATGTACACAAAAATTGAAATGTAAGATATTTTGAAGATACTAAATATTTTGAAGATACTAAAAAAAAGAAGATATTTTGAAGATGAAGATATTTTGAAGATATTTTGAAGATACTAAAAACAAAAACAAAAAAAAAGATTACTAAAAACCCATTTTTTGTAAATTAATATATATTTATCATATTAATATATATTAACTTATATATATTATTATAATATTAATATATATAAGATTTATTTTTTTTAATGGATATTTCTGATTTTTGAACTTGTATTTTATGACTAATAATAGCGAGAGTGTCCTCAAGTTATTCGATCATATGGATGGCTAATTTGTGGGTTAAGCCAACAAATACTTTTTAAGTTATTAATAAACTTGAAGTTGTAGATTAAATCACCTTGATTGTATCTTTCATTTAATGAGGTGGGATGAAGATGTGATAATCTGGCTTCGCTGGATAATTCACTAAGAAGCTGAATTTTTTTGGTGGCACAATTTTGAACTTTTTCAAGTTTTTTTAATATTGTATGCAGAAAGAAAAATCCATACAAAAGTAGCATACCTAAGATGAGCTCTGACCAGCAATGTGGAAAGTCTCTTCCAGACTTGTGCATTTTTATAGATAAAAGCTTTCTTTAGTTGACAGAAAACAAAGTTAGCTTTTGATGATATTATTTTGACATGCATGTCCCCTTTGATATTGCGTAAAATGCAAATGCTAAGATCTCTTTCTAAGATCCTTGTTGAACACCACTGGTAACTAATCTGAAGGAGCAGAACCCATGATAACATCCTGCGTTCTGTTAGAAAGAAAATACTTTATCCAATTAAGTAGCATATAAGAGTCACCAGAAAGTTTGTGGAGTATAAGATTATGAAGTGAGTCAAAGGCTTTTTCATAATCTAGATACAAAGCATCTAAACTATAGTCTCATGCCATTGAATATGAGATCTGATCTACAGTTTCTAATAAATTGGTAATACATGATTTATTTGGAACAAATCTGTTCTGATTTAGAGATAAAAGACTTTTAGCATATAGATACTCAGTTAAACAATCTTTTACAATACACTCTAGGAGTTTGCAGCAGACAGATGTTAAAGAAATGGGTCTGTTTGATGAATCAAGTTTAGATCTTTTTTTGTGAAGAGGTGTGATGTTACCTTTCAGCCACGCAGCTGGGACTAGACCTTCAGAAATAGATTTTATAAATATATAAGTGATAGACACATTCAGAGATAAAGAACATTTGTTAAGAACGTGTAGGTGAATGCCGTCTATGTCTGATGGTTTATGCAAGTTGAGTTTTTATAGTAGTTTGTTTTTCAAGAGAAAATACTCATTATGAAGATTCAGTTAATATAAGATGTGCTAGTTGGGCCTAATTTAGAGTTCAATTAAAAAGTATTAAAATTAACATGTTGGGTTGGATGGTTGAAACCAAATGTCTCAATATAGTCTTATATTGTCTCAAAATGTCTCATATAGCTAGTGCATTTGTGGTGAACGCAGTGCAATTAGACCATATTGGTATTGCCAAGGTTAAAGTCTCCTGTGAGAAGACCTGAGAAGTGTTTATTTTCCACTAATTTAGATGCAAAACTTATAGAGGCTTTAATCTGATTATTTACAAAGTCATTACTGAGAGTTGGAAGGTATACACAACCAACTACAATTTTTTCAGTTCCAAGATTAACCGAACACCAAACTTGTTCAGAATCAGTTCAAGGTGAGTTACTTTATGGCTTATTAGTGTGTCAGATATATAAATGCAGACTCCACCGTAAAGATTAGTTTTTCGATTATGCCTGTAAGTAATATAATTTGTGAGATTCAAAATAGAGTTTTTATCAAACCATGTTTCTGTTATAAAGACAAGACTTGGTGGTGCTTTTGAAAACTAATATTTATTAGCAAATTGAGGATTTTATTGCGGTGAAACATTTCTTAAAAAAATACAACTTTTTGAACAGTTCCTAAGCTCCTTTTTAGTCATAGTCTTAGTCAAGTTTTTTCTAGACTTTTTAACTACAAAAAGTACATTTTGAAGGTGATCTTCATCTCTAGTAGCTGAAATAAAATCTTTAATGAGCTTAATGTTTCTTTCTGCACCATCATTTACAACAGATATATTTTTGATCCATGCAATAAAATCTAGCAACTGAGGATGTTTAAAAACATCTATAGTATTAAGACTATTATTAAGCCATTCTTTTATACTTGCTCTTGATATTTTAAAATGTTTGAAGAGAAGGTAGCATTGCTCGGAAATCAACTCAGGTAGCTCTGTGGTCTCTCCAATATGCACATTTGATGGTTTACAACGCTGAAATTCATTTGGCTCTTCAAACTCAATCAGAGCTAACAGCATTCTTAGCTTTGTTTCAGAAGGAACTTCTTTATCCCCAAAGGAAAAAACACAGAGTTGCAGAGTTAAGTACCACGTATGGCGTCCCATGCTGAGAAGCAAAGCATTTCCAATATTCTTACTAACTTTTCTCAATGCATAGGCTGTCTGGATAGCTTTCAAATCATTGTAGGGAGCCAGAAATCCTAAAAAACTTTTTAAAAACCATGGAACATAGCAAATTGCAATGAACAAACTTGCATCCTTCAACTGCAGCATTTCTTTTTCTGTCAAGATATTACTGATATCTTTAGTCATATAAAGAGTCAGGATGTAGATCGCATCTGCTAAAAACCTTGCCTCATGGCAGGCGCCAGGTTGATGGAACTTAAAATCTTGTACTTCCACTCCAAGGAAGAAGGAGGCAAGCTTACAAACTATACCATAATTATTCCTTGAAAACACTATATCAGTAGTTGCAATAGTCAAAAATGTCTTAGCTTCCTCTGCAGCAGTGCGAAGAACAGAGCCAATCTTCAGATCATCTCTTTGCCAGTCCAATTTACATAAACTTTCCACTTCATTCACTTTCTCACAGATTTCAGGCCACTTGTTTTTTAGCTTGACATAAAGAGCTCTTCTTGTACCTTTAGTTTTCTCACCAGTAAGGGCAGCCATATAGTGAGATACATGTACTTCATATATGTGTCTCCTACACATTATCCACAAAATTGGTAATTTCAAAATATCTGTAAGAATTTGGACTGCTCCATTTACTCCGCCTGCATTGCTTGCAGTTGTATCACAGCATATACCAATGATATTCTCTTTACATCCGTAATATTCTAAAAGATTGTGCACTTGTTCTGCTTGGTCAACTTCCATGGTATCGTCATCCGGGGAACTCACTGAGACTGCAAGTCGCTCAATTTTTTGAATAAAGTTAAGCCCAGTGGTAATTTGTTCCAACAGTTTGGTATCAAAATGAAGAATAAGCCGTCGGCCTTTAAGATGATTAGATATTGAAATCCACTCCGAGTCTCCTTCAAGTTCTACATATTTGAACTTTTTTCTATGAAGTGTGCTTCATGAAAGCGGTATATCATTAATTTCTATACCTCTAGCTTTAAATACTTCACTTAAAATTGCCAGATGAGGTCGTACACCAACATTGAACCTTGTTGCTGGAATAGCAGTACATTCAATGAGCTTTTCAACATTCACTGCTAGATTTATCCTATCTCCAGAATTGTACCTAGGTATCATTTTATAATATTTTTCTACCTATTTATAATTATATACTTTTCAATAAAACAGCTTTAGCGTGAAAATTACAACTATGTTATTAAAATAATACTATACCTGCGTTTCCGACCGTTACCCAGGAAATCATCTTCCTCGCTGATTTCAAAGTTTTGACTTTTCTTCCTCACTGCTGAATTGAATCTCTTCTGTCATGGAGTCATGTGACAACAAAACATCATTGATATCTTTTAAGTTTTTCTGTCTCTCTAATTCTTTCTCTCTCAACTTATCTAGCTTGTTCTTTCTCCTGTTTGCATCCAGTACTCTTCTACTGTAGTCTTCATCGACTTTTGTTTCCATATATCCTTTCCTATGTAACTTCTGGTCTTCATAAAAACTAAGAAATATTTAAATCTATTAAGCCATTTATAAATAAATTAATAATTGTTCTAGTTTTTCTTGGAAGATGACCAAACCATGTAAAGAGTCAAACGTAAATATTTTAAAGGAAACAATATGCTATTACTTAAGTTAATTTTAATTGGAAAAAAAATCTCACTACTAAAAAAAGTGTTATTTAATGAACTTACTTTATATCTTCCAGCTTGGCATCATCTGTTCTTAATCTATCAGCAAAAATATCTTTTTTAAAATTGTTAGTCGAGATGTCAAAAAGCTGATAGGATTCTGTGAGAAAATCTTTCTCTAACTTTGATTGCTTATTAAGACTGCTGTTCCAGTTTAGAGAAGACAATTTAATCAATTTCTTGTATTTTAAATTAAGTTTAATGATTTTGGTCTTTATATTGTACCCACAAATCACAAATTTCTTGCCAAACCCAGCATTATCCTAAATTTTTTTAATCCTAGATACCAAGCAAGAATTATCAGGATCTGTACAAACACCATTTTCACAAACAAGATCCTTGGATTTCGATTTCAATTTGCAACCAACATTAGTAGAAGTGGGTTTGTATTTAACTTGTGACTCGCGAAGGATAAATTGATAGTATCTAAGAATATCACCATTAGATGGAAGCTGTCTCTGAGGTAACTCCCTCAGTGGGTACTTTAATAGGTAAATATACCTCAACCTTTCTGTATTTTTCCGTTTTTTCTTATTCTGTCCTACCATCTTCTTTTTTTCAGCTGTTCTACCCATCTTTATATGAATTTCGAAATAATCAGTTTTTTAACTAAATTTTTACTAAATGTTACACTTGCATCAAAAATTTATGAAGTCGTTTTTCCCTCTCGTATAATATTTTATCTAAGTTTACCGTTTACACAAGAATTTCTTCGTGCACAAATTAGAATTCCGTCGTGCACAAATAATTCCATTTTCCTTCAAAAAAAAATTCTAAATGGAGTTTTTGTGAACCAATCCATGGGGAATTATACCAACTAATAATATTGTCCAGAAGGAAAAATATCAATCGCTAACAATGTTCATAGGGAATGATCCTATTCTTTAATAATATCCTATGGGAAATATTTGTGTACTAATTATTACATCATATTAAAACATATTGAAATACTAGATAGCGCTGTTTTTTAGTAAATACACACATGTGTACAAAACCGTAAAACTCAGAATTTACATCTATCACTTCTAGTCATTAAAAAGTTAAAAAAAAGATTTTGGTAGCTATTTAGGACCTATAGAATGGGGATCAGTTGAGAGCACATTGAAATTTTAAAAAAAGTGTGTTTTTGGGACACCCTAATAATTATTTTTGTACAAACTAATAACATAATTACAAAAACACAATAAAATCAATAAAAAGTTTATCATATCATACTAAAAAAATTGGAAATAACAAAAGAATATGTTAAAAAGATACATAATATGTATAAAAAATTGCAGCTAAACAGAAAGTGTCATTAGTACATGGTTAACCTGTTTATTTATACCAGGTTTTAACCATTCTATGAACATACTTTCTTTAAGTTTTAGCTCAAATTTGTTAGATGCCAAATCTTAAACAGAAAAATACATCACTTATTTGCATAAAACAATTTTCATTAGCATGGATAAGTTTATAGATATGGGACTTTTTGTCCCTCTTGTAATGTTCAGATATCAGGGTCTTAAGATGGTGAGTAGTTTTGCTTATATAAAAGGAGTTTTTTTATTAATAAAATGGTTTTAAAAATTAAAAAATTTGCCTTGTTTATAAAAATATTTACATTTTTGGTGCTTAAAAGAAATTTAGTTTAGTTCTGGAGTTTTTTTGGCACTTAATAAAAAATCCACATCTTTCAATCGATTAGCTTCAATTGCAATTTTGTTTATGTCTTGATTTACAAACACACAACTCTTAAAGTTAGGAAGAGCTATTCTTTTGTTAACTCTCAAAGATTTATTAATATTAACCTAGCTAAAATCATTATATAAATATAATGGTGCTAAGCCAACACATCTTGCAACACATCTATTTGATACTTTTGATAAAAGTAAATATATATGTGTGTGTGTGTGCGCTCATGTGTGTATGTATGCATATGTGTAAATATGTATGTATGTATGTATGTATGTATGTATGTATGTATGTATGTATGTATGTATGCATGCATGCATGTATGTATGTATGTATGTATGTATGTATGTATGTATGTATGTATGTATGTATGTATGTATGTATGTATGTATGTATGTATGTATGTATGTATGTATGTATGTATGTATGTATGTATGTATGTATGTATGTATGTATGTATGTATGGGTATGTATGTGTGTGTGTATTTATGGGTAGCAAACATAATAAATCACATGATAAGAAATTTTTAAGGTGTTGATAGGCTGGTATCATCAGTAAAATGATAGGTTCTTTAGTAATTTGCATTATGATGTTTAGTGTAGGAAGATGTGTTAACAATCTTTATAAATTAGGAACAATTAAATAGGTAAAATTTATACCATTGAAAAGCAATTTCTCTATAATGGCATAGTATAATGGCAACTATAATCAAAGTATTTCACTCAGTCAAATGCCTTTTGCAGATCTCAATTCACTCCATTTATGTTTTACTCAAATTATTTTGTTCTGTATACTTCATTAGATTTAAATTAAAGTTACAAAAAAGCTAAAATCTTGAGATAATCTAGTTTCAATGAACTTGTGAGCTTAGAATATACTTTTGAAAATCTATTTTTTGATTCTACTTTTAAGATTTTATTAGCCTTGCTGTCCATGTAGTTTTTGGTTAACCCTTCCTACTCCATTGTTTATTGTAAGATTTCACAGCTATTGTCTTGTATGTTTCTAAGACCAGAATAACTGGCTCTAATAATGGATCGAGTTAATTTGAAGAAACAAAGAAGAGAAGAAAAAATGCGCCAATGCAGAAGGAATATTTTAGTATTTCAATGTTTGGTGCATTATCTCTAAACATGATTTTACCACAAGTGACAAGTAATTTGATTTTACACAGTTTGCACAATTTGAAACTGAAGTGTAACAACACTAAACCAATAAAAACATTTATTATTGATACAGACATTTACACAAAACAAATTAAAATAGTCACAAAAAATGAAAAAGAATTTGAAACCAGATTGCATATCGAGCCCAACAGACAAAATGTCCAAACACATGACTAAATACCTGCAACCACTAGCAACAACCCTTGCGGCTTATCTAAAAAACACAAGATATCTACTGGAACTCCTACAATAATTAGAAATCCCTTCCAAAAAGTTCCTTCTATCACAGGAGACGTAACATCCCTGTACACCAATATACCCCAACAGGAAGGTATTGAGACAATCAAACAATGCATCAACAGGAACCAAAACTTCCATTTTCCCACCAAATTATCACCAATGATACCCACAACACATGTTTTTCAACTCGTAGATTGTATCCTCTCGAACAGCACTTTCAAGTTCGGAGATAAGCACTACAAGAAACAATACGGCACCTCCATGGGAATGAGAATGGCCTCTCCCTACACCAACATATACATGGGGGGTATTGAAAAGAAAATTATGAATAAATTAAAAAAGTCTGTCTTTTTCTACAAGAGATACATTGGCAACATTCTCTTACTATTCGATGGCATCATCAAAGAAGTAAACACGCTATGGGACTACATGAACAGCCTACACAATTCAATAAAACTTACACTCAACCTCTCCGAACAAAGTGCAGAATTCATGGACGTTAAACTATGCAAGGACAAAAAATGCCAGACTTTACTTAACACTACACCGAAAACCAATAGTGTAGTGTTGAGTTAAGCCCTCCTATACAATAATATTATCTCAAACACAAGAGACCTGGAGGAGAAACTCAAAAATCTGGCAAAAATTCTTGTAACAAAAAGGTATCCTTTAGCTGTGATTAATCACCAATTCCAAAAAGCACTCGAAAAAAACCAAGAAGAACTGCTTGGCAAACCAAAGGAAGCCACAAACAAAAGTAATGACAATAACCACAACAACAACTCACACATCCGACCCATCATCCTACCCTTTGACTCCACAGGACGACAAATACAAGAGATTGTCATAAAACATTGGAACATCATTGAAAACGATGCCAACCTTCACCACATTCTACCAGATAAACCGATGAGAGTCTTTATGAACCACAAATCTATAAAAGACAAATTAATAAGGACAAGACACAAGCAAGCCCTGCAACACACTGTTGACAGAAGAGCGACGATGGAAACATAACACAAAAACATTTTTGTTATACGCTATATGTAATTAAAATTGTATTTGTAAATAATATATATGTTAACCTTTAATGATGTGGGTTTTACTCTGCTCTCCTTTACCTATGCTTTCCTAATACCTGAGCTTTCTCTCTCAAAACTTGGCCTCTAACTTTTGCCTTGAGACAACATCTGATCAGTCCCCCGCAAAACTAAACCAACATAAGACAATAATAAGTCAAACAGCACAAGAAATATCAAATGATACAGGTAAAATCTCTTCCTAACTCCTTCCTTGGATAGTCTTTTTTTGTTGTTGTGCTAAATAATTAATTTTGCCTCACTTCTCTTGGGCTATGACGGCTCAGTGTGTCCTAACTAGCACACATACCTTGTATCATGAGCAAACTCATACAAGAAACATTTAGTTTTTGGGGGTCCTAGATCATAGCCGAGTCTGGCGTACTGAGTAATCCAGCACTGGTAATTAACATTATTGTATAGTTAACATATTTGTGTAGTTAAAATATTTGTTTAAAACATTTGTATAATTAACATGGTAATAAAAATGTAATTTTAATTAAAATTAAATAAAATAAATTAAAACTATTTTAATCTTTTACAACATTTTCAGGTAAGAAAAAAAAGATAAAACTTAGTACTAACCAAGTTTTAATACTAGTTTATTATTAGTCTAACATAATACTGCACTGTAAAATACAAAAATTGGTATTCAATAAATATGTAATAATATTAACAACTCACTAAGTATATCAATCATAGATAATTTTTCTGAATTTCTGCTCATTAAATTTGAATAGAGTTTCAAAAAAATATCTCCTGGTTTTGAAATCCTTATGTCTGCAAGGAACTTCAAGAAACTATTTTCATCTTTATTCAAAAGTCCACAGATCATTGGTAAACAGTTTCGTAGCTTTTCATTTACCATAATCTCTTTACAAGTTAAATAATTGTATGCATAAACTGAGACACAAAACTCCATTATTGTCAAGTGAACAAATTGATAATAACAACCTAAATCTGTTTCAATTTTCTCTATAAAACCAGAAAGTTCATTTTCAACTTCATCAAAACTATTGACAATGTTTTGAATTTCCCTTCTGGAAAATGTAACTTTATTTTCAATAAACAAATGATATGCAGTTTTACAAATATTAAAAACGAATTGTTTATTATTTTCCTCTTGTAACATCTTATAAACTGGTTCATTGTTTTTGTTAATGTGTTTTTTTAAAAAATAAACAAATATACTTGCATACAAGTCTGACATGGTTAGGAAAAAACTTAAACTTAAACAAAATACATGGGCGATGTTATATTTTTAACATATGATAGTATATTTCTAAATTTTATTAAGGGGATGTGATATTCTAACATTCTAAGAACTATCTAGTATGTTTTTTTTAACAAAGTACACGGGTGATGTGATATTCTAAACATATAATACCGGTAGCATACCATATATTTCTTAGTTTCTTTAAGGCAATGTGATATTCTAAGGTTCTAAGCATCAAATACAAATAATTTTTATAACATTAATGAACAATATACATGGGGGATGTGACATTCAAAATATTTGTTTCTTATAGTGTGTAATATATTTCCTAATTATAATAAGGAAATGTCATATTCTAAGTTTTTAAACTAAAAGTACAACTAATTAGTATGATATTTATAAACAAAGTACACGGGGGATGTGATATTGTAAACATACAGTGATAGTTTGTGATATATTTCTTAATTAATTTGCTGGATGTGATATTTTAAGGTTCATAGCAGAAAATACAACTAATTTTTATGACATATATAAACAATATACATGGGTGTGTGTGTGTGTGTGTGTGTGTGTGTGTGTGTGTGTGTGTGTGTGTGTGTGTGTGTGTGTGTGTGTGTGTGATATTTTAAGTAATATAAAACTGTTAGTTGACAATAGATTTCTTATTTACATCTAAGATTCAAAGCAGCAAATAAGACTAACTATGAAGTTTTTTAACAATATACATTGGAATGTGATATTTTATATATATAACATATATAATACTGGTAGTACATAGGGGGTATGACATTCTAAACATATTGATAGTTTGTGGTATAATTCTTAGTTACACTAAGGGAGTGTAATATTCTAAGCAGCAAATTTGACTAACTATGACATTTATAAACAATATACATAGGGGATGTGTGTCTAAACATAATATATGCGTTATATTTCTTAATTTTATTACGAGAGGAGATTTATTAGGATAGTATTCTAAGATGCTACTCTAAGAGATTTATTATAATATTCTTTTTTTAGGTTTCTTCTTGTTGTCCCTGGCCACTAGCATTATGTTTTGTTGCATGTTATCAGACTTGTATGGTCACTACTTTTGAAGCCTTTCTGACTGAACAATACCCTGCTGTTTGTCATCAATGCCATCTATATCATGTGATGTAACACTGACTGCTATCACTTTAAAAAAAAAACAGTTAGTTAAAGTCTTCTTCAATCTGTTTCACTCGTAAGATATTTATTTATATTATTATATATATTTTCCATTAAAATAAATACAGAATATCTTACCTTTAAGATTTATATATATTATTGTATATATTTTCCATTAAAATAAATACAGAATATCTTACCTTTAAGAGTATTTATAATTTTTTGCCTGATGTTGTCTTTAAGTATCCCAATCTTCAATTGTAGATTGCAGCTACTAATGAAGTTTTGTAGGCGAATACCTATACTATATCAAGCAGAAACCAAAGCAGTACAACCAGCACATATTTTTTCAGCACTTATGTTTATCATTATCTTATCCATCCTCCTAAACCAAATATGTTTATTCTTATCCAAATATTCTCCATCCTCCTAAACCAAATATGTTTGCTACTGATTTCTAGAATGATTGCTTCTGTAATATACATGTTTCTTTACTATTATACATGTTTCTTTACTATTATACATGTTTCTTTAATTTCTGGTCAAGGTAGAACTTATTATTCTCCACTTTGACATTCTGTTCAAAAACGAAAGTGTTCTCCATAAGTTTCTTTAATTTTTACTAAACTGTTTAATGAGTGCTTGACTGAATCTAAATCTTGACACCTGTCCCCTCTAACTGTTATCCAGTCAGTCTTCTCTATATTATAAGCAAAGTCTTTGATGATTGATCAACAAATTTCTAACATTCCAACTTGAGTCTAAAATTTTACTCCCTGACAATCATTATGGCTTTTGAACTTCTTGTTTTAAGCCCGACTTGCTAACTGTAATGGCATGCTGGTCTTCTCCATAAGCTTGCTTCATGTGACGTATCTGAGAAAGTTTTTGAGGTTATCAAATCATTTCTTTCTAATTGTTTTATTAATGTCATCCTCGAAGGCTAACACTCTTCTTCGTTTCTAGTACCTTCTGGAGTACCTAAAATGGGTATACTTGGTCCTGTGTTATTTTTTATCTACATTAATGATCTTCCTGACAATATTACATCTAAAGTGGCTCTATTTGTTGATAAATAAACTTTATACCCCTGTCTAAATAAAAAAATTTATCTCACTTTTGTAACAGCTTGGGGCTTGTAGTGCCTTTTGAATTTTAACTTCAACAAAACTCAGTTGCTTACTTCAACCTAACTCCAATTGTGGTAAAGTTGCATCTCCTATTTTCTACAAATGATTGCTGCTCAAAGGAGCTATCATCTCTAGTTCCATTAACCAAAACTCATTCTCAATTGAATCGTCATTCAGCAAAGTCGCATTTTACTGTATCTGTTCCTGCATGCTCTAAAAATTATATAAACTATTTGTTTATTTTTTTTCTTCGGACTGTATTTATCACAGTCTAATTATTTAAAAAATTGATTATATATTCTGTATTTTATTGAAGTATATCTTTTATTTAGATTTAGTACGAATCAGCAGTGAACTTATACGGAAATTATCAAACGAGTTGGAAGACTGAAAACTTTGATACACTCAAAAAGTCACTTTTCAAGTTTAATTTTTTCCTTTCGAAATTGAATATACAATCAATACCAAATTAGAGTCACAAAGTAAATTTAATTTTCTTAAAGCAGTATTTTAAATAAAAAAAATTTAGAAGAAAACTTGTGATTGTTGTGTTGTTTCTTCTTCCTATAAATTAACCTTATTATTTAGCAACTAAATTTTATTTTTAATTTATAATGTATTTTAAAAGAAAAATTTGAAAGAAAAAATGTTGTATTTTATAATATTAAAAAAAAAGAACAGGCTAAAACTTTTCTATATTATCTAACTTGTTTTTTTATTATTATTTTGCTTGCATCGCTTGTTATGAATTAGGAAGCATTAATCAAGGAAGAAGAGTATATAATACTTTTTGTAACATCAAAAGTATACTTTTTGAAATATTAAGTGAAATTGAGCTTCATATATATAAAGACTGTTCTCCTCTCATTTCGGTTTTATAAACTTATTGCTCAGGATAACTAATTAGACGCTGATATAAAAGGAATTAATGAGAATAAAATCAGCATGCAAAAACTTTTTGTTTTATCTTTTTTTTATTATTGTAAATGCTTACTCGACAGTTTCATTAGGCTTTTTTTAAATCATTTTCGTAAATCGATTTTTAGCTTGTTTAATCTGCCTAATCAAAGGCGCCAAAAAAATTAGGCACCTTTTTTTTTGAGTAACTCAAACTATTATTCTGAGCAACATTCAAAGCAACTGTGCAACATAGTAACTTTTAATCTTGTTAAAAAGGAAAGAAATTATTGGTTTAAGATTAAAAAATAAAAATCGTTAAACGACTATGTATTCAATATATCAAAAGTTTTTTGCTCTTAGTGAGTACATCCTTATTCTAGTTCCGCAACATCTACAAAATTGAATATTGTGCAGTTAAAGGATTATTATTTAGTGAATGCGTAGCACCAAAACAATTTCATTAAAGATTATTAAAGTGTATAAGGATTCTTCGAGCTCAATTAGAATAGTAAAAAGATGAAAAGCATAACGTGGTTGTACAAGATTTTAAGATGATCCACGTCAAGGACGTACAAAAAGTGCATTACAACCAGAAATCGTATCAAAAATATAACGTATATTTTTGGAAGATTGTCAATAAATTGAGAGAGATTTAGTAGAAGCTCTTGACATCTCCTTAAGTAGTGTAAACAAAATTTTGAATGAAGTTTTGGGTTTCAATAAGTTGTGTGCACAATGTACATTACTTTTGCTAACAATAAAACAAAAACAAATTCGGTTGCAACTTTCTTAGCAACATTTAGCGATTTAAAAAGAATAAAAATAATTTTGTGCGTCGTTTCATAACTATGGCTAAAACTTGGGTCTACAATTATTAACCCGTTGTAACCTTTTGGACCAGTTTTGGACAATAGTGAGAAATGACCAGGTTTAGAAAAGAAAAAAATAACTTTTCATCAAGAAAACGCACCTTACGCAGGTCAAAAAACCATCGCGAAAATCAGTGAATTAAAGTATAAATTGTTGCAACATCTATCATATATACCAGTTTTGGTTCGGCAAATAGGGTAGACGTTGATTTAGTGTGAGAATAGCCATAAGTTGACTAACTTATGGCTATTCTCACATTAAATTCAAAATTTAATGTGAGAATGTGAGAATATCACAAAAATTATTCACACAAAAAAGTTCATGTGTTGAAAACGATTTTCATTAAAACAAAGAATTAAAGCAGCCGTGGAAACCTATTTCGCAGGTCTTCTAGATTCTCACTACAAGGATACAGTACATAAATAAGAAAATCATTGAAAAAAGTGTATTGAAGTTCAGAGCGATTATATAGAATAACAAACTGTATTTAAAACACTTAAATTTATTTTTTTAACAAACGATAAAACTTATTCAGCAACCTAGTAGAAAAATATAGCTACTCTGAGCAATAGCATATATAAAAACAATCTTGTAAATTTTGTCCTACTTTAACTGCTGCAGGTATTCATATTTAATAAACCAATGTTTTATTTTAATTTTATGTAAATATAGTAATTTAGAGCAGTGCCGCCCCATTGAGTTTTTGCTTATGCGACACTATGATCGCAAAAAGTGACCAACGGAGCCGTCCAGTTACGTAGACCTGGGAGATGTGAAAGTAAAAACAGATTGAAGATGATGTCATTTAGGTAAAAAAACATAAATTAATGCAAAGACTATTTAGTTGGAAGAGTAAAAGTAAGCAACTCAGGAAAAGGGGAATAAAAACTCACACTCTAGTCATCTTTTAATAAATGATGAAATAATGATCTATGAGTAAACAAGTCAATAAAAATCCGCTGGTTTATAATGGTATTCAT